TTGTTTTGTTTTGTTTTGTTTTGTTTTGTTTTGTTTTGTTTTGTTTTTGAGGAAGGGAAATAGACAAACCTTTTATTTTATTCATTTCATTAAGTTAGTAAAGGATGTTTTGAGACAGATCCTCATTCTGTAGCCGAAGTTTGTCTTGAATTCACTACCTAGCCCAGGCTAGTCTCCAACTGACAATAATCCTTCTGCATCAGCCTCCAAGCACTGAAATTCAAATGTGTACTATCATGCCCAATATTTTATTTTATTTAGTTACAGTACTGAGCAAGCACTCTACCACTGGCTAAATCCCCAGCTTGAAACATAGTTTCTGCATGGCCTGTCAGGTGTGGTAGAGGCACACCCTCGATCCAAGAACTAGGGAGCTAGGGGCAGGAAAACCAAGAGTTCAGGTCTAACCTGGGCTACAGGAAATGCAATCTCCAAATTTTCAGAAAACAAAAATAAGGGCCTTGGTGGCTAAGAGAAGAGCTGACTTCGGTTCTTAGCAGCCACATCAAGGGACTCAAGACTACCTATCATCTCAGATCAATGGGACCTAATACCTTCTTCTGGCCTTCTAGGGTACACATGCTCCCAACACAGACACAACATGTACACACAGAAACACAGAAATAAAAATAAAAGCAAATTTTTTAGAGTAAATAAAAGGCTGTGTAGCTCAGTGGTTAAAAGCATTGGCTGCTCTTCCAGAGGATCTAGGGTAAAATTCCCAGCACTCACAGAGCAGCTCACAACCATCTGTAACTAAATCCAGTTCCAGAGGGTCTGACACTGTCTTCTGAACTCCGTGGGCACCAAGCATGCTTGTGACTCACATACATACATACATACATACGTACGTACGTACATACATACATACATACATACGTACATACATACGTACATACATACACACATACACACATACATACATACGTACATACATACATACACACATACATACATACACACACACATACATACATACACACATACATACATACACACATACATACATACATACATACAGGCAAAACACCTATACACACAAAATTATGATTCTCCCTATTAAGTTTTTAGTTAAAAATAAAAATTAAGTTTTTAGTTAAAAATAAAGAAAAAGAAGGCTGGGAGGACCTCAGTTGTTAAGTGTGCCTGCCCAATATGTACAAAGCCCTGGGACCCATCCCCACCACAGCGTAAACCAGATGTGGCTTACAGGCACGAGATGGAGGCGAAAAGATCAGAGGTTCAAGGTTATCTTCAACTACAGAAATAATTGAAGGATGACATGAGATAAATGAGACTCTGTCTCAAAACAAAATAAAAATAGACCGATCAATTATTTATTTAAATTATGTGAGTGCACGCCCGCATGTACCAATCAGAGGACAACCTGTAGGCTTCGGGTTTTTCTCCTTCCAAGGTCCAGAAGATCAAACTCGGGTCATCAAACTTGGCAGCAAATGTCTTTACCCACTGAGCCGTCTCGAAGGCCTCATCTTTAGCGAAACTAAAGCGATAGAAGGACATGCAGGTTAAGAGAAACACTCAAAATCCTGGGTCTCCGGTCCTTTTGGGGATATGAGGCAGCACAATAAGCCCCCATCTGTTAGAAGGGAACTGAGAACATGAGTTTGACAGGTAGGATTTTTCTCCCTCAAATGAGTTCCCTGTTCGCCTCATCAGGTAGACTTGGCCCACCACATCTCCAAAGCACTCTGCCAAAGGGCAAAAGCACTAGGCAGTAACTTTAACCTAGACGATTTCAAAACCTAGTCAGCCATGAAGGGGGGGGGCGGGCCGGGCGGGCGGAATATTTGTTGAACAGGTCCCCATACAGCACTCAAGCCTGAGGTTAGAAACACTAAGGATAACTCTCATTCAGAATCAGGTCTGCTCTCCACTCCACCCCCGCAAGCCCTCCCGCTCCCCCCCTCCCCTGCCAACCCCCCCAGATCCACAGTTACTTCAGCAGCTTTGCACCCATGATCCTGGAGACTCGGGTCCTGGTTCCCGTGCCTGCCTTATCTCTATCCTCCCTCACATTTTCCGCAGCAACAAAGCCAAACACAGTACCGTGGGGGCTTTCACGCTTCCGTGCGTTTGGACACGGTGTTCCTTCTGCCTGGAAGGCCGCGCAGCTCTCCCTCTGAGCGCCCCCCTCCCCCTGCCTGCCTGCTCTCATTCAACCCTCAGCACCCTTGCCCAGGGAACCCGGCACCCTTCTCTATCTAACCCAACTTTTCTTTTGCTTTGGCTTCTCTGAACGACAATCATCGGATTCCTCTAAATCTCTCCTCTAGCTGGCTCAGGCCTTTTCCAACGCTGGAGTTGTTTGTAGAGGAAAGGGATTCTCGCTTGACACCCCAAAGAAAGCACCTAATTCTAAATTTGAGCGATGACAGAGCATGCATCTAAGCTTAAGTCGGCTCCAAATGCCCTATAAGTCCCATCGGGTTCCTCTGTGTTCCTGGGGAGCCCCGAAATCTTGCATTCCCAGTGCACCCTGGCGCAGTAGCCCAGCCCCCCTGGCTTGACATCAGCAAGCTGGAGTAATCCAGGGGGGAGGGCCGCGAAAAAGCGCGCGCGTGGACTACAAATCCCGATTGGCATTGCGTGGCTCCGCGGCTGGCGCCTGCGCAGCACGCGCCCGGCGTTTGAGTGGCAAGTTGTTTGTTACAGCGAACACCAGCTGCTGCTGCGCCGGGCGCCGCGCTCCGCCGGGCGCTGTTTGCTTGTCCACCCCGTAGCTTGCTGCACCCCGCAGGTCCTCCCCAGGCCTCCTTTTTTTGCAACTTGCCAAGCTTCCTTTTTCTGGATCGAGTACGAATCAGCCCGGCATCGAGCTCCGGGCCCCCTTCCCTGGGCCGGTTGCCCCACGGCTTGGGGCGCGCAGGGGGCGGGGGCCGCGGCTCGTCCCCGTCCCCCCCCCAACTCGGGCCACCGCGGATGATCCGCCGTGGAGGAGCCCTGGGCGGACGATGGAACTGCACATTCTGGAACACCGGCTGCAAGTTGCCAGCGTCGCCAAGGAGAGTATCCCGCTCTTCACCTACGGCCTCATCAAACTTGCCTTCCTGTCTTCCAAGACCAGGTGAGAGAAAGAGAGTAAGGGGCGAGGGGATGGCTGACCGGGGACCGGGGTGGGGGTCATGGTACCCGCCCCGGGACAGACAAAGAGGCGCACCCCGGGGGAACGCAGTGCAAAACAACTTCATTCCCCCCCCTCCCCATCTCTGCTATTCTCCTGCATCGGACAAAGCCACCCCTGTGCTCTCTAGCTGGGGGTCCTCTCCACCTAGAAGCCCCCACCCCACTGCGCCTCCAACTGCTGCCACCAACACCCAACACCCCCCCCATCTCAGTCCCTTCCCTGAGATCCCTAGTAACCTCGCTAAATGGCCTCTGTGATGCATCGGTGAATGAATGAATGAACGAATGAATGAATGAAAAACAGGTGTGGAGACTCGGAGGAGGAAATTTACAAACTAAACACGCCCCATCCCCCCATCCACCACCACCACCCTCCTCCCGGTTGGGCCGGCCCCCCTGTAGCCATTGGCAAGCGGAGAGGGATGGCGCTGAGCTCGCTCACCCCAGAAGAGAAAAATCATAAAATCATTAGTAGATGTTTATCTCCAGGTGCCTGTGAGGGGAGAAGGGGTGCAGGCAGCGGGGGAGGGGTAGCAGGGCCAGGGTCGCTGATTTCTTTTCTCTTAGGGGGTCCAACGAAGTGGGAGGGAGGGGGATTTTGAACCATGGAAGGGGAGGAGCAGGCGTGTTTATGGATCTGCCTGGGGCCTGGGCTTGGATGTTGCAGGGGGAAAAAATAGTGGAAGGCCTTGGGAGGGAAGAAGAAAAAGAAAAACATTTTTTTTTTTAATCTTGGATTTTTCCCATTGCTAGATGTGTGTTTGACTTCATAAACTCCTGTTGGATTAGAGTCAGGCTACCTTTTCTTTTAATTGCCCATTTCCCCTTATGGAGTGGGAATTGGAGCAAGCTACTGTTAACTTAAACCCCTCATTCACTTACTACGATGATGAGTCCGGTTTGGGGCAGATGTATAGCAAAGATGCTCTTGCCTCCTTGCCAAAGGAATGGATTCATTTCAGGTCAAGATTGAGTTAAATTGACAGCAAACACACCCCCTCCCTCCCTCCCGCCCCTGCCTTGCTGTCTTGTCTCCTACTGGTTGGGCTCAGGGGGAAGGACCTGTTAAAAGTTCTTGCCTAGGGACCTGACTTCGACATTTCTGAGCTTGGTCAGGGCTATTGTTTAGAAGATGAAGCCAGCTAGGTAGCTTTGCGAGTGTTTACTTTCTTCTCTGAGGGCTGTCATATCTGCGGGGACCAGAGGTTTTGGAACCCTCACCTCCCTTGTCCAAGTAGCCCCTTGCTCCTTGGATGGCCCCAGGTAAATCATTAAACAGGTCATTTGAAAACAAAGCTAACAGCTCAGGTTCTGAATGTGCTTGCCTCCCCACCCCCCAAGTGCAAAAAGCCCCTCTTCGTCACCGCCTTCTGATCTTATATCAACTCTCCACTCGCCCTCTGCCCACTCTCCAGGCAATCCCCAGGACTCAGAGGCTGGAGGTAACAGATTCCCAACCTCTGACCTCAACAGCCCCTGACAGCCTCCTGGTTCCTCCTCTCTTTCTGAGGCTGGAGAAAAGAGGAGTTTTAGGGGAACTTTTTCTTTTTTTCTTTTTAGAAAGACAAGAGAAAGGCTGGCTCTGTCTGTTCCCTGTGCCTTGGTGAAGGGACTGGCCTTTGTGTGTGTGTGTGTGTGTGTGTGTGTGTGTGCATCCTTCATGTGCTGCTCCCAGGGTCGAAGTTGAAGGGCTCAAATTGAGGCCCAGAGACAAGCTCACAATGGGCCTACCTGACCACAGGAACACCTTGTCCCCTTGTAGGGTTGATACCCCTCCTCCCTTCCAGGATAGGCCCAAGTGACCGGTCCAGTTGCAAGATGACTCAGGGGTCAAAGGTCACCTCCTCGTCTCCAGGCTCTAACTCTAGAAACCGCTGAGTATAGTTGGTCTGAGACTGACAAGCTGCTGCCCTTATGTACTCTGAGCCCAGGCGTGGCTTCGTGTTGGAGTCAGCCCCAGTGTCCCAAGCTGGGTCACTGACTGTCTCTGTCTCTCTGTCTCTGTGTATGTGTGTGTGTGTGTGTGTGTCTCTCTCTGTGTCCCTCTAGGCCCACTTCTTTTTCAAGGAGCTGCTTGCTAGGACTGGGTCATTCAATGCATATAAAAAACCCCAGCTATGTCTCAAAAGGAGTGGGGGTATGCCCCTCTTAAGTTATTTAGAACAGCGAGCCACGCTGTAGTAATTCTTGATTCTTCTCCCCTCCGCTATGGTCCAGGCTTCCTATTAGCACTGACCGTCCCCCAAACGGTGGCTCCCTGGAACATCTCCCTGCCTGTTGAAACTGTTTCAGTCCCTGTTTCTACAGGGCCAGCCCCCTGCTGTGGCATTCAGGGCCTTTTGGGGAACCTGGAGCCAGAATCTTTGTCTTTAGTGTCTCCCACAAGCAGATGTTCTAGGTAACAGCCACGCGCCTGCTTTCTCTTCCCTCTTCACATCTGTACATCCTTTATCTCTTCCTGGAATGTCCCTTACACCCCTGTCAGTTCCACTTCAGCCCTCGAGATTAGTGACGTCACCCGAAGCCTCCCCAAGCACTCCCCTGCCTCCACCCTCCTCAGAGACTTAGTCATTTCCTCTCTCTCTCTCTCTCTCTCTCTCTCTCTCTCTCTCTCTCTCTCTC